GCTTGCCTTTGAAGAGAAATGGTGCTCTAGCTGAGTGGAGCGCACACTAGAACGGAAAGCGGGAGTGCGGGTTCAAGTCCCGGTTGGCATGAAGAGTTTTGCCCATAGCTTAGCATCCCTGTGCAATGGTGTCACTTCGCTCCGATCTGGGTTTCCGAGGCATCCCGTAACTGTGAACTTAGCAACATACGTGGCATCAGGTGACATCAAAAGCATCAAAATGCACATAGGGTGTCAATTTTTTTCGAAGCCATTGCCACGTGTGCTACCAAATCAGCAATCAAAAAATGTCAGGCCACGGAAAATAATGTGCAAGCGTTTACAATCTTAAAACATGAACGCACCTGCAAGAAATTATTGTTATGGTCGTGTACGAATAAAATCAGCGCCTGTGATTGGTCCGTTCGAAAAGAGAGTATCGTCTGGTCCAGGAGTGCGTTCTGTGGCAACTCGTACTTCAAAAAACCACCGTGAAATGACACGGAAGAATTTTGATTGATATCTGCATAAAATGGATTGTTCCAATTATTTACATCTGATAACTGGAAAGGGAAAGGTACCCGACAGAAGGCTCGTCGCGCGGAAAAGGCAGAGACGGAGACGGGTCAGCGGGGAGTACTGTGGCGATTTAACATCAAGTGAAACATAATGCACTATAGTACGTTCTCAGGTAGACTTGCAGGACAAACCACCGAATTACGGTCCGCAGCAGTGTCGCAGCATATGCTGCCGACACGCCCACTCGTCCGTGATTGGCTACCACCACACGGGTTACTGTGTGCAGACGCGAGCCAGCCAGTCATAGACTAGTGGGCGTGCCGGCAGCATATGCTGCCGACACTGCTGCGGCCCGTAACTCGGAGGTTTCTCCTGCAAGTCTACCTGAGTTCCACATCGCCTCAACACGTGCTGCGACTCATCCGCCTGATCCCTCTCTACGTCATCTTCTCTGCCTTCTCGCCGCGCGACGGGCCTCCCTTCAGGTACTCGAAGGGAAAGGCTACCTATTTCACAGTTCCGTCCGCTGTACACATTCGGATAACGACAACGACAGATGGCACTGTCTCTGGCGAAATCCTCTATGCATTCGGCTGCGTTCTGGCAGAAGTTCTCATGACATCGATCGTCACAGTATAGATAGACATCTGGAAGATGAAGGGTTTCGATCAATATTATGGCTTATTAATATTATTATCATCAATACTGTAAATTCTTTTGCAAACGCATTGTGGTCGTGACTTTTAACTTCTTCAGGCGAATGTGATGTACAAAGGCGGCCAACCAACAAACATTGCCGATGACACACAATTAGCCAATCAATTAAGCAAGGTGGAAGTTGCGATTGAAATCAGCTGTACCTTCAACATCCTTTCCAATAGCTTGCACATCAATAGCTTCGTCGTTGATGATAAGAGAACGGATACATCCAGAAAAACCACTAAAACTGCACTACTCAGAAGGAATAGTTGGACAAATTTTGGAATAGCAAAGAATGAGAGCAAAATAAGGCAGAAGTGACCGCCACCGTACCTCTCGTCGTCATTCAGTTGAAGTTTTCCGTTCGGAATCTCTGTCTCGTTAATGGCAGTGAATGTATTGAATCCATCGACACTTAGCCGAATTTCATCGTTCGCTATTTCTAACACCAATAAATGCCACTTTCGTGTCATTTAACCTGAATTTCCTAGAATAGTTGAGAGGCCCTGTTGTTGTAGTTCACGGCTTGGCAACCAGATTGCTAGAAGTAGAGAATAAAGAAGACACTATCACAAGGGGGAGTCTCTGTCTAAGTCCCTGTTCGACTTTTTTTTTTAAATTTCTCCATTCATTATCGGTCACTTTCACTACACTTCATAATCGTGGTTTTTGCCCGGCGAATTCGTTTCTTGGATTGTTGCTTTAAACGCGAAATTTTACAGTCTTGCCACTGAGTTCCGCACAACCACTGCCCTCAGCTGTGAACGTCCGACATACGATCCATTTTCCAGCAAAAATGGACGACACCCTGCTGAGAAATCTGATCCAAATCTGATCATGGTTTGCTCTTTGCCCGCATAAGCAATCCCACTTGTTTTTGGGACCTTCAGGGCTTTTTCTTCCACAGCAGAAGAATTTCTGCAGAATTGTGTATACGATTGAAATACACTACGCTGATTGGACACTTCAAGTGTCATGAGCTGCTATGAGGGTACCCGACAGGAGGCCCGTCGCGCGGCAAGAAGGCAGAGTCAGCGGACGAGTCGCAGCGCGTACTGTAGTGATTTCGCGTCAAGTTAAATAGAATGTACCATTGTACGTCCTACATCGCACAGCACGCGCTGCGACTCGTCCGCCGACTCTGCCTTCTTGCCGCGCGACGGGCCTCCTGTCGGGTACCCTGCTATGAACGCGATCCCAGCTTCCCACGAACTTGGATGGAACTCAAGTCCATGGCGCATTAAGGAAACCTGAGTGTTAGTAGTCGACAAGAAAATTGTTTTTTCAACTGGGGTTACGGTAACAACAAAGGAGGAACAGAATCTGACTTACCTAGCCTGTGATTCGACTGTTGCACTTGAGTTGAACGACGACACACGAATCATATGGCCTGAGAAAGAGAAAGAAATAGCGGATATCGATTTTGCTAAACAATCAATATACCGTGAACAAGTTCGACCCTGAGGAACTTCTCAGCGTTCTCTTGGAATAGAGAACACTGTAGCAAATGGTAGAGCCGTCCGGAACTGAAGTGACAATGGTTCTCCGTTCCAGTTGCTGATGGGAAGCGCTCGCGGCTCCGCAAAACGAATTGGAGCAGCGGCAGCTAAAACGGATAAATCAATAATTGATCACTCTCCCGCAATTCATTACACTTGCATCGACTAACCGAATCCTTCGCATTCAAGCGGACCCACTGTCAACTTGCCATCGACATCGCCCTCCGAATGCAGTGCTACCTAAGCAAAACTATGAAATCATTTCCAAGTTCCCTTAAGTTACTGACTTATGGATATGTTGGCAAACTTGGTCAGCATGTATAGTATATCAAAGCCGAGCAACAGAGGCACATGGCCAAATAAGCACAGGCGTTCCAAGGCTGGTGAAGAGGGTCCGAAAAATTGGTGGAGGGCGGTAAGAGGGGTCTCAAGCACAAACCCAGCGGCCAATTGGTCTAGTCCATGAATGGCGTTCAATGAATTCATCATAATCGAATAATTGTCAACAATAATTGTCAGCCAGTCATTGTGATCACTGCCTTTGAAGGCACATTCCGCGATTGAGCAGATGCTACTCCCGAAATGAGGGTAGCTGTGGTTTTTTTTTGTTTTCTTTAGTAATCAGTAAGCTGGTTCCTGCAACTCCGCTCAGTTTCGAGCAAAATAACGCCTACCTAAGCGATTATGGAGTTTGCCTTTGAGCTCTCTTAGGACGTCAGCCTCTCTGAGGAAACCTCAGAAGTTTGCTCGCTGCAGCATCTTCCAGGGAATAAGCGCATCTCGGGGTTTCTCATCAAAACCCACGCTGCTCGTCAAATGTTTTTCGGAATTCCTTCTATAGGGTTCTTATAGAAAAAGTTTTGAGGTGGACAAGGTAATACGATTTCATTGACGTGATGTGAACACTGACAACAGCTATTCGGTAACACAAGGTTAAGAATAGGAATTATCTGAAATGAGTTTCAAATGACCTACCACTCGGACGATGCAGCATCTTCCCATAAAGAAAGCCGGTGTCACCCGTCATTGACGCTAATGAGTCGCAGTTGCATTTCTCTGAAAAACCATGGTTTTGTCATGTTTCAACCTCAAGAAATCAAGAGATAGGTAATAGTTACATATGCTTCTTTTTTGCAAAATATGCAGTAAGTTCGGATAGTTTTGTAGGATGAGTTCTCAAGTTTACATAGAACAGTTTCTTACATCTTAGTATGGTGCTGTCCCGAAGCCTCATAAATCTCTGAATGTCGAACAACAGTTTGAGGCTCCAAAAATTTTATTTCAAAAAGCTTCAAAAGTCTGAATATCAAAAGCTTTCCAAAATACTTGCAATATTTCGGTGCTTAGCACCTTCGTCAGGCCTGAATAATACTGGAAGCTCTTGAGATAAAACGGCTAGCACCCGAAATAAACAGCAAAGAAGAGCTACGTGACATTCTCCAAATTGTCACATGATATCATGCATTTCAACTACTGCATGAGATTGCTAATATTTAAGGGTGCGAGCGGGGTAGGTTATACTAATTTGTCGTCGGGTAAGTTTGTATTTGACAGAGGCGAACGCGTGTGAGTTGGTCTTATATATTTCGTATATTGTCCGACTCTAGAAAGAAGCATTGTTTCAGGCCTGACGTAAGCACCGAAATATTGCAAGTTATTTTGGAAAGCTTTTAATATACAATATTGCTTTCTTTTTGAAAACATGCTAATAAGTTCGGATAGTTTAGATAAGTTTCGGTTACAGAGAACAGTTTTCTAGCAGTTAAGTTGCGAAGCTATAGCTCGCACCCTTCAAGCCAGGATCGAAGAGCAAGGGTTTGCTTCTCTGCTCCGTGATCATGCACGGCAACATTCTCCTATACTGTATCTGCTGTTGTAGTTTGTGCAGGTTAGAGAATAGCTAGCATTTGGCCAAATAAAAGACTTAAATGATCTTACTATTCTCAATGCATCCCAAATCCATACAAGGGCAGCTGTTTGGCACACGCCCAATCTGTCGTATTGTACGATTCCCAACAGCCACTTGGAACCATGTTCGCTTCGATTCGAATCTGAAGACATGGCCAGTAAATTGATAACGAATGTGGGGCAAGATGGACAGTAGGTCTGTGTTTTTTCTCCGAGCGATCTGCCATCAAATTCGAAGGGATGGAAGGCTTTGTTGGCTTGCGTTGGATTCGCTCGGAGATTTGACCCTCGGACCATGTGGGTGGTGAGTTGTGCCATTACATCATATTATCTCTTATTTAGTCAAACGTAGTAAGACATCAAAAACCCTCACCCGAGCGCAGCATGACTGCACACGTAATACACCTGTTGCTGGCAAGATCCTGAATTCTGTATAAGCCTGAAATAAAAGAACTTTAGTTGAGGAAATTTACATGAAACGTATGATTCTATGGCGATTTGCTGAAAAAAGAAACTAGGTAGGTCAACTTGGCTGGAATTCGCACGAATATATAACGCATATAAAACGTA